CAAAAAAAAAAAAAAAAAATTTTTTTTCATTATAAATAGGCAGGCATCACTGCAATGCTTTTCTTCCTTTCATTTTTTTTTTAAGGGCCTCTTGCTATGTTACCCAGAGTCTCAGACTCCAAGTAGCTGGGACAACCAGCAGGTACTGCACCACCACCATGCTGGCTCAATGCCTGTTTTTTAATAAATTCCAACATACCTGTGCACATCCTCTCAGATACTTGCATTGTCTCTAGATTATGACACACAACACAACATAAATGCCAGGTAAAGAAGCATTATACTGAACTGTTTAGGAAGGAATGACAAGAACAAGAAGATTCCACATGGTGAGTACAGGCACAATTATTTTTCCGCAAAATATTTTCAATCCAAGTTTGGTTGAATGCACAGATGGAAAATCTGTGGATATGGACATCCAAGTATACTGTGATAGGTTCCCACCTCTCTTGTTAACAATGACTTAAAATGGAGAAACCATTAAAAAAATCTTGAAAGCCTCAAGCTGATGCCCCATAAAAAGAAAATCCTAAGAACACGAATGGCCCCCGCCTTCTGTTCCGCAGAATCCTCACCAGGCCACTGGGCAGGAATGATTTCCAGGATACAGTAAGTGAAGAAACAAAACTGTAGTGCAAAATATCAGAGCTTAAGGAAGAGGTTCTGTTTTTTTTCCCCTTCCTGGTGCTGGGGATCAAACACAGGACCTTGCACTTGCAAGGCAGGCACAGTGCCACTGAGCTGATTCCCCAGCCCTGAAAAATCTGGATCTTGATATAGCATGAAACTATTAAAAACTACAACAGGATGGATACTAGCATTCATAAATATCCCCAAATGGAATCCTGTCCTTTTCCTGGTGTGAGAAAGGAATCCCAACAATGTTCTGCGAAGCAGGTCAGTATGGCCCCAAGGAAGTGGTATTCAGTAGCTGCACCCAGCTCCAAGCTTCCCCAGGGGCCCCCTGCTTGCCTGAACCTCCTGCACTTCAGGACCTTGAGCTGCCCACTGAAAAAGCAGCTCTAAGATCCAACCACAGGCCTGCAGATGGTGTAGGACCCTGTTCCTTGTGGTGAGGGCAGGGCTGTGCTGAGCACCCCTCCATCCTGCGGGTGTGCGGCTGGATGGCCACCACAGCCTCATCTGTATCTGACTGTGGCTCTCGTGTGGCATCTGGAAAGGGTCTACCAGGCCTGGCATGTGGCATTTAGTCCCACTCCCTTGTACCTTGGGGAAAGCACCCAGCCTTCTAAACCCCCAAACCACCTCTGCCAATGAAAACACTTCATTCAGAAAGGTTCTCACCTTGCTCGTAGGTTTGGTTTTCTTTTTTATTCGTGGCTTCACTCGCTCAACTGCAGGCAAAGGCGGCAACTTCTTCAACTCCTCAAGAACAGCGATAGCAGCGTTCTTCTTGGAAATCTTTTTGCTCTTCCCTTCCCCTTCCCCTACAAATTCCCCAACTGAAACCCTGGTCACAAAGTTCTTCATGTGGGGTGGGCCACACTCCCGGGCCACCTGTGTCAGAGGGAAAGACTGAGTGAAAGGGTGACAGACGCTTGTTAAAAGCTGTGGGACACACTGGTTGGCACACTTTCTTCTCAGGAAGCATAGGTGGAGAGGCACTAAGGGCAGGATGCACCAAATGAAGGTGCATAAATATGGGCCAAAGGAAGCAGTGAACTCTGAATGCTGCTTCTTCTCTTTCTTTTCAAATTGGTTTGTGTCCCTCAGGCTGACGAGTCCAAAACAGTTTAGCCTGAAACAGACTTTTCCACACACAACCCTATCAAATGGTTCTTGTGACCCCATGCTCACAGCTGTTCTGGCATAAAAGAACCTGGTCCAGCAAAGCCCAGAAATCATTGCAGCACAAAGAATTCAAGTTTATTTGCTCTGAGCCTCCAGCCAAGACTGGGCTTATTAAATACTGGCTGCTATGCAACTGTTAAGAAGAATGAGAAAAATCTCTAAACCCCCATAAAGAGTAAATTCCAGCATATTATCAAGTGAAAAAAATCAAACTATAAAAGTTAACCCTAGCTGGGCTTGGTGGTGCACGCCTATAACCCCAGCACTCAGGAGGCTGAGGCAGGATCACTGAGGCCAATTTAGGCTACACAGCTAGTTCAAGGCCAGCCTACACTACATAAGTGAGACTCTGTATCAAAAAACCAAGAGCCAAAAACAAAAAACAAAAAAATTGAGTGTGGTGGCAGACACCTGTAGTCCTAGCACTTGGAAAGTTGAGACAGGAAGAGAAGATCACTTGAGTTCAAGGCCAGCCTATGCTACACACACAGTGAGTTTAAGGCTACCTTGTACTACACAAAGTAGAGACCTTGTCTCAAGAAAACAAACAAACAAAGAATTAACCCTAATTTAAGAAACAAAGATGGTACAACTGTATTCCACTATGTATACATATATGAATATAGCGACAGATGTGTAATATGCTTATTTATGCAAAAACAAACACAGGAGAGATAAAGGAGAAACCAATGTAATTACTGACCCAGAAGACAGAAGGGTCAGGGGCTGGGTATTTAGCTCAGTGGCACTGTGCCTGCATGGCAAGCACGAGGTTCTGAGTTTGATCCCCGTGGGGTTGGGGAGACAGGGGCAGGGAGGAGGTGTGAATCTCTGGTAAAGTTTTGATTTTCAGAACTATTTGGTATTTTACATGTTTAAAAAAAATAAACTGACAAAGATAGAAAAGAAATCTAAAACTGAAATAAAAAGAAACTTGACTTTAAAGTGATCATATTACTACACAGAAGGAAAATAAAAATCAAGTTCAAACTGTATCAGCAGGGACACTCATAACAGACATCAACGTGAGAAGATTTATACTACTAGATATTAAAAATTTACTACAAGTTACAGCAGCTACATTATCCTATTTATCATATTAAAAAACTCTACAGAACAAAGTGCAAGAATAGACCCACAAATATAGAGTCACCTGATCTCCAACAAAGCAAATTTTAAAAAATGTAATGGTATTCTGAGCAGCTAGCTACCCACGTTGGGTGGAGGGTGGGGATCAACCGCAATCCCTAATTCACATCATGAATAAAAACTGACTTTAATCATATAGATAACTGTGAAAGCCAAAACTCTTAATGGCCTCTAGAAAACTTCATGGCCACAAGGAGAGCAAAGAATTAAACATGAATGACACCAACCATTAAAAAAAAAATTAGAATTCCTGGCTGGACGTGGTGGCACATGCCTGTAATCCCAGCACTCAGGAGGCTGAGGCAAGAGGATCACTTTGAGTTCAAGACCAGCCTGGGCTACACAGTGAGGTCCAGGTCAGTCTCAACTACGTAGTAAGATCCTGTCTCAAAAAAACAAACAAACAAAAAATGAGAATTCCTCAAGATTAAAAATCCCTCATATAAAAAGTGCAAAGAGCCAGGCAGGGATGGTGGCGCAGCAGACATCTTTAAGCCCAGTCTGGGCAACTTATTCATGTAGTGAGATTCTATCAAAATACAAAGACAAAGACAAAACAAAAATGGTCAGTGCCACCGCCTGCCTTGCAGCAGGTGCAAGGATCCTCGTTCGATCCCTGGTACCAAAAAAAAAAGGGTAATGTTTCCAGTACCAGGAAAAAAAAAAGGTAATGAAACTCAGTGCATAGCCTGAGATCAATCCCAAAATTGAGGGGAGGGGGTGATCCACAGAATAGGAGAAAGTGTGTGTGCCAGACAACTTATGCACAGAATATTTAAGCAATCCTTACAAGTCAATAATAAAAAGACAAACCACTCAACTAATAAAACAGAAGAAAAAAAAACAAACCAGGTAAAAAATACTTTACAAAATAAAATCTCTTAATGGCCCATAAACATATGAAAATGTGCCACCATGTATTAGTATCAGGGAAATGAAAATTAACAACATTAGAAACAACAAACACACATGCCCAGAATGATGGAAAATTTAAAAAACCGACAAAGTTGTGGCTGAGTGATCAAGTGTGCAAAGCTCTGGGCTCCCTCCCTAGCAACACCAAAAAAATAGAAAAATAAAAAACCAAAACACAAGACTGATATCAGGTATCAGCAGAGATCGCTTTGCCTACCCTGTGATCCACCAACTCCGAGCACATGAAAACACAAGAAGACCAGTGGAAGAATTTCACAGCAGACGCTGATTCATAATGGCCCGAGGTGCACACAGAGGAAGGGCCCATGGAGCAGAGAATGCATTAATTAAACGCTTCCCGTCCATGAGTGGGACACAGCAGTGCTCAGGAATAAACTGACACACATGCCCGGGACTGCATCACATGGGATCTAAGATACAAGACCGTACCCAGTATGTTGCATTTAACTAATCCATGGAGACGGAATTCAGGGAACAGTTTCTTTGGGGTGGGAATTAATAGGAGAAGGGCTCTGGGAACCTGCAGAACTGTACCTCGATCCAGGTTATGAGTCATGTTTTCATATGTTCTGTATGTCAAAATTTATTGAACTGTGCACTCAAAATATGTATATTTGGGCCAAGGATGTGGCTCAGCAGCACTGTGCCTGCCTGGCAAGTGCAAGGTCCTGAATTCGACTCCTGGTACTAGAAAAAAAATGTATATTTGACCGTATGTAAAGCATATTTCAGTACACTGTTAACATGAGGAAGAATGAATCCAAGAACTTTGGAACACAGTGCCTTCACCATACATCTGTAGCATAAAGAAAATAGGTTTGCTTAGCTCACCGCAAAGATATCTTCAACGTTTAACTTAAGGGATCTGCTTCTGACCCTATGGGCAAACACACTGATGTTGGAAGCCCAATGGCCACTATGGGAAAAAGGAGGCTGAAATATGAAACAGAGCAGGGGTGCAACTCAGTGGGAGACGGGTGCTCAGGTGCATGAGGCCCTGGGGTTGAACCCCATTACTACAGTAATAACCATTAACGAATGATCAGCAAAGAGGAAGCACCTTGCAATGGCGGACTGCAATTAGATGTACACAGCTGAAATGTGAAAACAATGTGCATTTCCTCCTTAAGTATCTAGAAGGAACGAGTCTCCCAGTAGCAGTCAGCACAATGGCCCCCATGAAAAGGAGCCAGGGCTACTTGCAGGAGTAGCCAAGGCTGTTTCTGCCAGAAATTTCCATTTTCTGTGGTGCCAAAACTAGAGCAGGAAAAACTCAAGGTAAAGTTAAGACATTTTTTTGTACTAGAAAGTAAGGAAGTTTTGAAAGTCTGAAGAGGAGGTATGAAGGTAATTTAATAATAAACTGTGAAGGGGGCCGGGGATTTAGCTCAGTGGTTCGGTGGCCTGCCTCGCAAGAGCGAGTTTGATCCCCGGTACAAAAAATAACCAAAAACCCAAACAAATAATAAACTGTGAAGGAGGGCCAGGGATTTATTTAGCTCAGTGGTTCCGATGCCTGCCTCCCAAGTGCAAGGTCCTGAGTTCAATCCCCAGCACCAAACAAACAAACAAAATACAAATAATAAACTGTGAAGGAACAGTGAGACATTTCCCAAGAAAACAAAAAACAAAAACTCCACACCAAACCAAAAAGCTATGACCCTAACTCAAAGTACAAATAAAAATCTACTCTCAAGACATCATAACTTTAAATTAGAGCAACAGGGCGTGGTGGTGCATGGTGCTCTCCAGCTCTCCGGGATCGCTCTGAGTTCAACACCTGGGCTACAGAGTGGGTTCAAGGCCAGCCTGAACTACATAGCAGAGACCATGACTCAGATGACAGACAGACAGACAGTCAGACAAAGACAAGGAAACTTCTAAAACAGAACAAGCCTAGGCTGAGGAACATAACAATCATGAAATGCAAAAGAAAAGTCTGGAAGCTGAGTGTACTCAAGCAAGCTGGTAATCTTTGCTACTCAGAAGGGTAAAGCTGAAGGATCTCAACTTCAAGGCCAGCCCACAACTCTGTCCTAAAATCACATTAAGGAAAGAAAAAGGAGAACTGGGAGTATATGTTAGTAGTTCAGCACTTGTGTACCATGTGTGAGGCCCAGGTTTCAATGCCTATAATGCTGGAAAGAAGGGAAGAAGGGAGGACTGGGTAGGTAGACCAGTGGTTGAATGCTTGCCTCGCATGCTGAAGGCTCTGGGTTCAGTCACTAGTTCTAGAAGAAAAAGATGAGAACTTACATTTGGAATATATAAAGAGCCCTCAAAACTTGGTAATAAAAAGACACTCAAGGGCCAGGGATTTAGCTCAGTGGTACCATGCCTGCCCTGCAAGCGCAAGGTCCTGCGTTCGATCCCCAGTACCAAAAAAGAAAAGAAAAGAAAAAAAAGTTAGCCAGGTATGGCAGTGCACACCTGTAATCCCAGCATCTGGGAGGCTGAGGCAGGAGGATCACCCTTAGCCATAAAGAACAAGAAACTTTGAGAAGCAAGGCCTGTCATGTAAAAGTACAAGATCCCAGTAATGAATGCAATTGTACTGTCCACATAGAATGTACCAATAAATACAATTTTAAAAAAAGGAACAAGAAACTAAAAGATATTAACCACCAGAGGGCGCTCCTACAATTTTGCTGAGATGAATACTCTCCAATTCCTGGTTTCATGTTACGTACCACAGGTTCCTGAAGGGAGGGATGAAAGTTAAATCCTGAAATCTAAACAAAAGCGTGGGTTGGAAGGAAGCAATCTGGCCTGCAGATGCTACTGAGCAAAAATATAAAATGACAATTTCTCAACTCAGGTTCAAGTCTCTGTGAGTCTGGAAGGGCAGGAACTAGTGAAAATGGATGAACGGTCAACTCTAGTTGTGAGGTGACTTGAGAAGCCGGGAATCTTTCATTCCCCCTTCCTCCAATCTTCACAAAATCCATTCTCCTGCCACATTAACTCCTGAGCAGGGGAGAAAAGGGACCTCTCTCCCCTGTCCTGCAATGAGTGCCCATGGAGACCTCAGGATTTCCTTGGGTGCAGCTCCCATCTAGTCGCTGCCAAAACAACCAGTCCTATTATTCTGCCTGTGCTCACCCTCTCCAGAGGACAAAGGCTACACAAGATGAGGACCAGGAGGCTCTGACTCCAAAAGGGAAGCAATTTTATAAACCTGCTCTCAACCAGTGGAGTACACAGGTGGGCAGGGGTGGGTGTGGGGGGCCATAGGGGGAACAAGAAATATCTTTGCACACAGCTGGCCCAGTCAACTCAGTGCAACTCTCTGCCCCACCACCAGGATGTGGGTCAGAAATCACCACCACCCTCTGCAGGCAGGATTGAATCTGGGGCAAATACTAGTGTATCACAGGAGACTGTACACATTAAAGAACAGGCACACAATTTCGGGGGTTTCCTGTAACTGCAAAATCAAGACTACAGAATTCAAGTATTTTAAAAGATAGTATGCTTCAGATAAGACTTTTTAAAAATAATCCCATAATCAAGCAAGGAATTAAAGACTTTGCCATATGTCAAGCCATAAAAAACTTTTTAAAAATTCTCCTTTCCTTCCTATCCTATCTGGACTATGTCGTCTTTGAAAGAAAACATTAAATGTATTTTTCTTACATTTTGAACAAACAACCCATTAACTGTGGGGGGTGTTTTGAGACAGGGTCTCACTAGGTAGTTGAGACTGACCTGGAACTCACTATGTAGCCCAGGCTGGTCTCAAACTCACAGCAATCCTCCTGCCTCAGCCTCCCAAGTGCTGGGATTACAGGCAGGCACCACCACACCCGGCCAACCCATTAACTCTTATTTCACAAAATTCCCAATAGCAAATGAAGTATAACAACAAAACCTATGTCCTTTTAAAAACTGTGTGGCAGGCTAGGGATTTAGCTCAGTGGTTCTGGTGCCTGCTTTCCAAGTGCAAGGACCCAAGTTCGATCCCGAGTACCAGAAAATAAAATAAAATAAAAACTGTCCGGCAACATTTTGGGGACCACCTAAGAGATCCTTAGTACTGTGGAGGTAAAGATGATGAAAGAAAGAGGCCCCCTCTCAAGATGAACATGAGCATGTGTGTGAACAGAAATACAATATTCTGCAGACCTCTTCAGGAAATTCACAGACAAACTGAGCCCACACTTGGCCCAGCCAGAGATTCATTCATACACCTAAGATCGGGACCTGCAGGAGAAGAGAATGAAAACAGCACTGCTTTGCTGAACACAAAGGGTGAATCTTAAATTTGGAGGTTCATATTTCAATTGATATTTGGGGGGGAATCATTCCTATGATGAATCCTAATAAGGTTTTAAAATACAAAATCCTACATGTAAAATAAGCTTACCTCGAAATTCACAGGCAAGTTCCGCTTAAGTGCAATTTCAAACACTTGACTTATTTCAGATTTATTGAGATTTTCTTCTTCTGATTCTCTTCCATTCATCTAAAAGAAGAATAATTGTCTAGGAATTAACTTTTTATTAAAACCATCAACATTCCAGTTAGGATAGCAACCATTAAAAGCACTGAATCCTGACTTTACGGATTTAACAAGAAACTAGACCAAGGCCACATTAGCTCTGTATGGGAAATGGAGCACTGAATTTTTTTTTGTACTGGGGATCAATCTCAGGACCTTGCACTTGTGAGGCAGGTGTAATGCCACTGAGCTACATCTTCAGCCCTGTATTACTGATTTTTTTTTTTTTTTTGGAGACAGGGTCTCACTATGTAGTTGATACTGACCTGGAACTCACTATGTAGCCCAGGCTGGTCTCGAACTCACAGTGATCCTCCTGCCTCAGCCTCCCGAGTGCTGGGATTACAGGCGTGCGCCATCACGCCCGGCTGTATCCCTGAATTTTAAAAGTTAAAAATATCCTGTCAACTGTGGGACAGACTGTGCTTCATAAACAATCCACACGTAACAGTCCGGTGGGTATAAACCAGTCCAGCTGTGGTACAGCAGGATGCCAGCACTGCCTGGAGAACAGAATTCCAAAGCCCTCCTCCAATTCTGTTAAGCTACAATGTGAATAAGCCAAATACAGACATCTGTGTGGTTCAGAGCAAGTTCAGATACAGGTCTTTCCACGTTATGTACACAAGTTTCTTATTTGGTCATAAAGTCTCTGGAAACCACTTTTGAAAACAATGCAGTGAAAGAGAAATTATAAAACTTCCACATATCTCAGACTTAGTACAGTTGGCAAAACCCCAAGTATATAAACTAATAAAGTCTCCTCAACAAGGGCAGGGATCCTATCTTTGTAACAAGGTTCATTCACAGGTCTCCAGCAGGGACGGGGTCAGAGGGGCTGGGATCTCCTTTGTGTGCTAAGACACATTTGATGTTGCAGTGTAGCGACAGCATTAGAAAACAGATAAACTCCACAACAGGAAGGTCTCCAAACACCGCCAAAGAGCTGTTTTTCTTCACATTATTGCTATTCAGTTGTCAGGAAATTTATAAAATCCTATTTCCAAGGTTAGAATTATCTGATAGGAACCTGGTCTGAAAGGTAACAAGACAAAGGACAGGACTGGCCGAGATGGTACAGGTGGTACATTTCCTTCAGTTTATCAGGTAGGCTGGCTCATGTCCACTGAGCTAACATGAGAAAGCTATTAATGTAAAATAAAAGTTTAGGTCAGCAAATACAATCTAGGGTGTAATTCTGAATAAATAAATTCATTACAGATTCCATTTACAATTCTTTCCTTCCCAACCTGGTCTCACTTTACTCTCTGCCCAGTCAGCAGTGTTTACAGATCATTCTGATGGTTTACTAATCTGAAAGGAGAGAGACCTGCTGGGTTTTTGTTGTAGTCTACCCACATTGTCTCAATATTCCTGTTCCAACTTCCTGAGCCAGTGACTACAGGCACACACTACTATGCCCAGCTCAGGGGACTGCGTTTTTATGGGTGAGTCCTTAACACCAAGTCTACACAAAAACTAAGTTTCACAACATTTATCTGAAATTTTAAATAGATTTTTAAAAAATTTTAATACACGGTACTTCAAAAAGTATGTCAACAAATGGGCCTAGAAAAAAGATATTCATATGCAAAATAGTGAAGTAGGACCCTTACCTCATATTTTAAAAATTAATTCAAACTGGATTAAAGACAAATGTAAAAGCTAGAACTATAGAACTCTTAGAAGAAAATCTTCATGACACTTCTAGATTTGGCAATGATTTCTTAGACATAACACCAAAAGCACAAGCAACGAGAAAAATTAATTATACTTCACTGAAATTAAAAACCTTTATCGGGGCTGGGGATTTAGCTCAGCGGTTCAGTGGCCTGCCTTGCAAGTGCAAGGACCCAAGTTCAATCCCCGGTACAAAAAAAACAAAAAAAAACAAAAACAAAAAAAAAAAAAACCCTTTATGTACCAAAGGACAATGTCGAGAGTGAAGACAGACCACAAAAATGAGATCTGCAAATCAAATTTCTGAGGAGAGATCAATATCCAGGATATACAAGAAATTATAACCCAACAATTAAAAAAAAATGGGAATTTCTCCCAAAATATACAAATGTCCAACAAGTACATGATAGTCAACATCATTAGTCACTAGAAAAATGTGAAATAAAACCAAAATTAAGTACCACTTCACGCCCATGAGGACGGCTATTATGAAGAGAACAGAAAACAACAAGTGCTGACAAGGATGTAAAGACACTGCCTGCCTGCCTGCCTGCCTGCCTGCCTGCCGCACTGCCTGCTGGTGGAAACACAACACAGTACCAGTGCTATGGAAAGCAATTTGGTAGCTCATCAAAAGATAACAAAAAATCACAATATGGTCCATCGATTCCACTCCCAGATACACAACTAAAAGAATAGAAAGCAGAGACGCAAACAAAATTTATATCTCCACTGTTCACCGTAGGATTGTTCACAGCAGACAAAAGGCGAAAACAACCCAAATGTGTATCAACAGGTGAACAGATAAAATGTAAAATTTCCCTTAAAAAGAATGAAATTCTGAATCATGCTACAGAATGGATGGATGACTCTTGAAGACATTAAAGGTGAATTAAGCCACACAAAGAACAAATACGTGTGAGGTACCCACACCAAGTAAGCAAATGTGTCGAGACAAAGAGATTACCAGCAACTGGAATAAGGGAAGCACAGACTTAACTGTTTAATGAGCAGAGTCTGTATTTGGAATGATAGGAAAATTCTGAAAACAGATATTGATGAAAGTTGCGTAACACTAAGAATCTATGTAATGCCACCATTTAAAAAACAGTTAAAGCTTTTATGTGGGTTAGGTCAGGTATAGTGCTACAGCACTCCAAGAAGGTCAGGCAGATGACCAGTCCCAAGCCCTGCCTGGGCAACTTAGTGACTTAGTGACACTGTATCTAAATAAAAATATAACAAAGGTCTGGGGTTACAGATCACACACCAAAAAACAAAACCAAACTAAACCACTTATATATAAATTTCACCTCAATTCATCACAACATTCAAAAATGTTTTGCCAGGTGGGGTGGTGCATGCCTCTAATCTCAGCACTTGGGAGGCTGAGGCAGGAGGATCGATGTGAGTTCAAGATCAGCCTGGGCTACATAGTGAGTTCCAGGTCAGTCTCAACTACATAGTGAGACCCTGTCTCAAAAAACCCAAAAAAATAAAATAATAAAAACTGTTTATGTTTCACACCAAAGATCAACACATTTGTGCCAACATGTTAACTCATTTTTGTACATAACAAAATAAAGCTTTTTGACGACTTTATTTAAAAGTGTATCCATATTTGTTTCAAACAGATGGGCTGTTAAAAAAAAAAGAGGGCTGGGGATTGAGCTCAGTGGTTCTGCCACCTGCCTTGCAAGCGCAAGGACCTGAGTTCGGTCCCAGGTACCCAAAAAAAAAAAAAAAAAAAAGACACAGGGCCGGGGATGCAGCTATACTCCCCTCACCCCTCCCACACTATCTACTCTCAAATAAGTAACTGTCACTACGCGTGCTCCCCCTATGTACAACCAGAACAAAATTTGGAAATAAATGGGGGCTGAGGCTGGTAGAAGACTTCAAAGCCATGCATACATCCTAACTTTCAGATGTTTTGTTTATCCTATCGGCCCATCAAGTACTACAGACATCAGATTTTTTAAAGAAAAACAATTGAAGCCCTTCTCACTCCTCTTCCTATGGCAGTTAACTATCTCAGTGTGAATGTATCTCAACCAGCATTTTAATGGATGAAAATAAAATATAGTATAATTGTTTTGAAAATTCACATAAATCATTCTCATGACTATCAATATTGCAATCTCAAACTTTTAAGTTTACATTAACAAATGCTACTTATCTATTTTATATACTAGGGCTCCATTCAAGACCAATAGAAAACAACGGGTCTAGCACTAAGCCCTAACCTTGAGGCCGGCCGATCTCACCACAGCAGAACCAGAACCACTCAGAAACTTCCAACAGAGAGATGCTGGTCTCCACTTCAGACAAATGAACTCAGAATTCTATGGGTATGGCCTGGATATCTTTTATGGTATTTATCTATTCCTCAAAAAAAAGAGTCCTGAGGTGGTTTTACAAGCAACCAGAATTAAGATGGACTGCTCCAAATCATTGCTTCCAGAGGAATTTCAATAGGAACAAAGCAGCCAGTAAAATAAACTTGCAAAAACAGGAGCCAAAGGTATACACATTTATTTAGAAGGGCTATTACGTTGCTCCTCTGCATAAATAATTTCATATATCCACTCTGGACAAAATACTGCAAAAGAGGAAGCAGCAACAACTCTGAACAAATCCACAAAGCCCGGTGTGGTGCCACACACCTGTGATCCCAGCACTTCAGAGGTTGAAGCAGGAGGATCACTGTAAATTTGAATTCGAGTTCGAGGCAAGCCTGGCTGCACAGTAAGCCCAAGAACTACAAAGTGAGGCCTTGCCTCAAAACAAAAAGACAAACAAACAAACATCCACAAAAACCACTCCTGTAAGATGAGGAAAGTTTAGTCAGCCCTTACTCTGTCACTAAGTGAAAATTACTATTTACATCAACTCTACAGTACTCAGTTCAGTGATAACATCTAGGCAACATTAGGCAAAGGAGGGGGGGAACTACAGTGAACCATGCTTAGCCCTTTCTTCCTATACCAGGAAAAATGCTCATCACCATATATGAGCTGGCTCTAATAATCAGAGTGATTGACTTAGACAGAGTTTGAACCTGAAGTATATGTGGTTCAAGGTGGCCTCAAAGTCACATCAATCCTCCTGCCTCAGCCTCCTGAGTACTAGGATTATAGGCATGCCTTTTTATTTTTCTAGATTTAAAATCAGCTAAAATAAAAGACAAACACCATTCCATTAAACATCTTAGAATAGTAAACCCAAAATTTTCCTTTATGTTTCTGGTTTGGGAAGTCATGTATTTCTGGTATGGACAAAGGACTCCAGTACATGCAACTAACTGCCCATCACCTGCTGTGCCTGTGTGTAGGGCACAGCCCATTATGGGATGTCAGAGTTCAAACACCTCAATAAGCTCTTATCAGGGTTTCTGATTCTTCTCGTGCTGATAATGTCAAAACACCCTACTTTTGAAACAGACTCATTTTGTTGAAAACACAAAAGCCATCTTTTTTGCATCATAACTGAAAAATTCTTTCATTTTTACCTTTATAAACAACAGATCGACACTGATTTCATTTTCATAGTTATTATCTATTTCTTTCCAATCACCATTGCATAAATATTTCCTTTTGCATTTCTCCACTTATTTTGTGGATGCTAAGTGTTAAATAAATGCAGTAGTCTAACATTATAAAAGATGCAAGAGCCAGGCATGGTGGCGCACATCTATAATCCCAGCACTCGGGAGACTGAGGCAGAAGGACCACTATGAGTTTGAGGCCAGCCTGGCCTACACAGTGAGCTATGCTACATAGTGAGCAAGCAAACATGTTGTTACACTTGCTTATTTCTACCGGGGATCAAATTTGGGTCCCTGCACACGCAAGGCAGGCGGCAGCACCACTGAGCCAAGTCCCTGGCCCTCTTTTTTTAATCCAAACAAGATTACTCAAGTTCTTGTCAACCGGTCCATAAGGAAATCCTTCCTGTTGAATGGTGGACTGAATGAGAATTTCACATTCCCTTTCCATCTGCAATAAAAATACACTGCTCACTTGTCAACTCTTGAGTCTGGAAAACTCATCTAAGCTATCAACCAAAAAAATCTCATCCAAAGGGGCCAGGGACTTAGCTCAGTGGTTCTGCCGCCTGCCTTGCAAGCACAAAGACCCGAGTTCAATCCCCAGTACCAAAAAAAAATCTCATCCTGGGACCTCACCTGGCCGCCCAGTCCCACTCCCATCACTAGTCTGGAGCACCACTATCTGTCTCTCTGTGCTCATCTGCTCATCTGCCTAATAAATGCAAGTGTCTTCCTCTGTCAATTTTCCTGCCTGCCATTATGGATGGAAAAACAAAAGACTGATGTCTCAGCTGCATTCACTGAAAGGTGAAAAAGGGAGACTCAGTGTCCCCAGGTCTTTTTGGTATAGGGCCTTCACACTGAGCTACATCCCCAGTCTTTTATTTTATTCTTTACTTTGAGATAGGTTCTCACTAAGTCACTGGGCTTGAATTTCAATTCTCCTTTCTCAGCCTTTCAGACAGGCCTGCGTCACCACGTCCAGCTCTCTAGTTCTCTTTTGTTTCTTGCAAATCAGTGGGCAAAGCTGTAAGAAGGTTAAGGATGATATAATAATAACTATGATATCCTCTACCCAGGGATTTTATGATCCTTCCATCTTCTGGTGATTTTTGTCGTTTTTAGCCTACTTAGAAAAAGATGCTGACTAGTGTAGGATACGTATTATGACTAATGTTTAATGCATATATAATGCAAAACATTTCAAGACATAGGAAAATCAAGGTCTCCAAGATCCAATAACACAAAGACGAATAAAAAAAAGTTCAAGGGGCCCATGTGATAATTTTTTTTTTTTGGTAACAGGGATTGAACTCAGAACCTTGCATTTATGAGGCAGGCACAGCACCACTAAGCTATTCCCTGTCCCATCCCATGTCATAATTTTAAAACAGAGTTTCACTCCATTTTTTAAAGTCTTGTATGTTTTCTCCCAGCTGTTCATAAGCATTCTGTAAGAGGAGAAAAGTCATTCAGTGTTATTCCTTAAAGGACTTGAAAAAGCAAGCTCAGAAATGAAAGCTCAAACATGAACTGAGCATGGAGGCACACATCTGTGAGCCCAGCACTCTGAAAGGCTGAGATAGGAGGATAACAAATTCAAGCCCAGCCAGGACAACCTAGCAACACCCTGTGAAAAAAGGTGCACACCGGACAGTGCGATCCCATTGTGCTAAGACAGATACACCTACTTTCCTGTGAAGCCACTGACATCAACTAAGATGCTTATAGTGATCATCTGCAAGAGGTAAATTTATATAATTTATTTTTTCCTTTTTCAAATTTAAAAATTGTTATAATTCACATGTACTACCACCCCCTATCAGGGATCAAACTTAGGACCTTGCACTTGTGAGGCAGGTATGGTGCCACTGAGCTAAATCCCTGGCCCTACATGCACTACTGTTTTGTTTTGTTTTGTACCAGGGATCAAACTCAGGTCCTTGCTTGTGAGGCAGATGGCAGCACCACTGAGCTAAATCCCCGGCCCTACGTGCACTACTTTTAAGAAAGAAAAATTAGCTAGATGTGGTGGCTCGCACCTACAGTTCCTACTTGAGAGGCAGAGATAGGAGGATCACAAACTGGAGGCCAATCTAGCAACTTAGCAAGAACAGTTAAAAAAAAAAAAAAAAAACAGGAATGGTGGACCAGGGCTACTGCACCTGCCTCAAAAGCTCAAGGTCCTAGGGCTAGGGATTTAGCTCAGTGGTCCGGGGGCCTGCTTTGCAAGTTCAAGGACCAGAGTTCAATCCCAAGTACCAAAAAACAAAACAAAACAAAGAAACACTTCCTGGAAAGCTCAAGGTCCCGAGTTTGAAGCCTGGTACTGAAAAAAAAAAAAATGTGCATAAATGGGAATGCAGCTCAGTTCAGTGGCAGCATTCCTGGGTTCAATTCACAATACCAAGAGCAAAGAGAGAAAGGGAGGAAGGATGGAAGGGAGGGGAAAAGGAAGGAAAGAAGGGAAGAGAGTGAGACCCATCAAAATCAAGGGGGCAAAGCATTAGCTAAAGCTAGCCTTCCAGCCTTCCAGCCTCCAGCCTTTTGAAAGACATTGTTTTTTACCCCAAACCACACAGAGCTAGAAAGAGTCAAAGAGGAAGGAAGACTAGGGGCAGCAGTGGATTTAAACTGCAAAACTCCTTACAGAATTCAGCCAGGAAAACGTGTCCATTACTGCCCTCAGAACTGTGCCTTAGACTCAGAGACACCAACAGGCTCTTCCCCTCATAGTAATGTGCGATTCCTCTCAAGGAAGGCTCAGAGGGGGACTCGGAAGTGCAGATGACACTAAGGAGCAATGGTTTCCGGCCCCTGCCCATGCCTCAGAGTCACTCCAAGAGCATATGAACAGTAAGAAAGCAAAAGCCAGATGGCTGGGTTTCACCCTAGCCCTGCTTCATTATAATCACAGAGGATGGGCCTAAGAATTGTTTCTTACACTTCTCAAGCATTCTAACGCAAACAACCCAAACACCAGTGTTCCCGCACCATCTATCAATTACTGGCTAAAGGAAATGAGAAATACCAACTCCATCTGACTCCAATTACATTAGCACCAAAGTTAAGTAAAACAATGCAAGACCTTTAAAATAACTCAGATTACATCAGGCTTTTGGTTTTGAGAGGCAAGCGGCAGAACCACTAAGCTAAATTCCCAGCCCCTGGCTTTTGGTCTTTTAACAAATCTCACCACTGAGAAACACATCCTTTTAACTTCACTAAATCCTTCTAAGTTCCAGCCCAATTCTCTTCTATTTGGTCCTCAGTGGACTCGGATCTAGTAGGTTACGTGATTACGCTGAAAAATGGAAATGCAGAGTAAGAAAAAAGAAAGCACTGCTGCACAGCCAGTCGCAAAGCCTCAGCAAGGCTCTGCTTAGGGCTACTTGGGCCCCTAATTTTCATCACTCTCTTAGCCCCATGTTCTGGACAACATTACCTGTTCTTTGTGAATTTGTTACCTAGGGAGGGAAAGCCAAGTGCTACCCAGGATATGTTCAGGAGACACTACTGTGATTAAACAGAACCAGGAAATCTCAATGTTCTCTATTCATCAGGTTTCTTTCTGGCCCTTTGGTGACTGGATTTATAATAAAACTGCCTTACCAGCAATAATCCCTAATGTTCTGGTCCCTCAGTAGAATGCAGCCTTTGATTTCCTAAAAATTATTATTATTAGTTATTTACAAAAAGTGAGAATCTTTCTCCTATCATTGTTGTTTTAAAACATGACCTCAAATTCGGATATCCTTCTCCAGAAGTGAATGCCCTAAAAGCCACCAAATTATATATTTAAGATGGTCAAACGACAAATTTACGTAATGAGATTTTATTTCAAAGAAAACAAAATAAACACTGAGGCTCCCTATGTGATTGCTTCAATCTAGGCTCTGTACCTCCTTAACCTATGCAGGACAGCAGAAGAGATGCTGTGATTTCTGGGCACAGGCCTTAAGACCCTGGCAGCTTCTTCCATTTCCTATCTTTTTTGGAGTCTTGTCACCAAGCCATGAGACAGTGTCTTCGGTTCTTGCACAGGTCAACTCAGAGAGGAGAGCCCCGTACCAAGGAGCCAGCTTAGCTCCAACTGGCCACATGAATGAGCATCTTAAAATCGGATTCTCAGGCCACTGCGAGCTACCACTGCCAAAGGTAGGTGGAGCAAAGATAAGCTACTCCACCAAGGCCTGCAGATCTGTGAGCAAAATTTAAATCCTCACTAAGTTCTGTAAGGGTCTGTCATGCAGCAATGGACAACACGCATTTCTACATGATAAAGACTGGTAAAGCAGGTCAGAAAACTCTCTCACCTGGTACCACAGATTAGTAGGTCCCGGCAAGCGTGATCACCAGCACTAAGAACACATCCATACCCGTTCGCACAACTCAACAGTCGGCCCTTCTGCTGTGTCTGTCCTATATTCATGTCACCCAAAATTATGCCAAAGTAAGAAAGAAGGCATGTGACTGCTAGAGATTTAAAAAGGAAAGGAAGGGGCAGGCTACAGGGTAGAAAATCTTGTAGGCTATCAAATTATAAAAGTTATGGATAGCTGTCAATATACCGTCTCAGAAAAAGTAACTTGAGGCACTGTCTTTCAAGCCACCCTCCTTACCTCCAGCCTCTCAGGCGGGGGCTCATTCTGCAGGATCCTCAAGGCTTTAGCAGCAGCATCATGTTTCGCAGCCTGTCTCGTCTTTCCTTTGCCATTAAACTGCTGTCCTCCCACAGAAAGTTCAACTTGATAAAGTAAAGGCGGAACTGGAAATGGGTAAAAATACCTAAAAAGAAAAGGGAGTTAGGAAAATTACAGTTTCAGGTTGATAAGTCTCTGGCAAATTCCAAATATTTCCTTCATCACAGCCTAATTACACTAGCGCTTGCTTGCTAACAATGACTATTCATTAATACATCCAGAGATTCTGTGATTTAGAACTGCTATACAGCATACAGTATCCTGTGTATACCAGAATAGCGGTGTATCTTATTCTATGTAGCAAATCACACTTATGCTCCATAAAATATGTTTTATAAATGACATGCCTTTAATTTATAATGCTAGCCTGTACTAAAAAAGAAAAATCTAAACTCAACTTTAGCTGAGAGAAATTAACTTGTTTTACTTTCTCCAACTTTAGATTTGCACCTCCATAGGAGGCTCTGAAAAAAAATTTTTTTTTTTTGGTGCTGGGGATTGAACTCAGAACCCTGTACTTGCTAGGCAGGCACGGTGCCACTGAGCTACATCCCCAGCCCCGAGGCTCTGAATTTTAAAGTTAAAATTTTTAGAAAGGATGGGAGGTGCTCAGTGGTGGAGGTGGTAGAGCATGTGGAGCAGGCCCAAGGCCCTAGGTTCAATTCTCAATGCTGCAACACACACACACACAATCTAGAAACAAGAGCCCATAGTCTAGTCCCTGGTTTCTTACATTTCAAAAGTTCATATATATGTATATATGTGTGTACTTGGGGTGGGGAGGTCAACAGCAGAGAATAAACACAGTGTCTTCACTCCGAACTACAAACCCAGCCACTGATTAACTGCCCAAGACAGGATCTCACTAAGTTGTCTAGGCACGGCTCAAATTTGGAATCCTCCTGCCTCAGTCACCTAGAATGCTGAGCTTACAAGTGTGTGCCACCTTATCCAGTTCAAAATTTATTTTATTATTATTTTTTTGGTTTTGTTTTGAGACAAGGTCTCACTTTATAGTTCAGACTGGCCCTGAACTCACTATGTAGCTCAGGCTGGCCTCCAACTCATGGCAATCCTCCTGCCTCTGCCTCCTGAGTGCTGGGATTATAGGCATGAGCCACTACATCCCGCTAAAAACTTACGTTTATAAAATGTCAGGCTGGGGATTTAGCACAGTGATTCCAGCACCTGCCTCGCAAGCACAGGACCTGAGTTTGATCACGGGTACCAAAAAAAAGACTTAGATTTGTAAAATGTCTTTGACTAGCCCCTCCCCAAGGAAGGCAGAAAAATGAAGAGTCCTACTTTGATCATCAATCTATCTACTAATGTGTTATTACTGCCGGCAAAAGACTGAACACATGGCACTTTCAAGTTTCAGTTAGTATTTTTCAGACGGAGGCTGTTTACAAAGCACACAGGTGCAAAATTCAAAAATCACCCAAAAACAGTAATCAGGAAATCTACAAATGCTGAGAATCATGATGTTGGGGGAATCATGTTTAAATGACTCAAGTTACACACAGCTGCTGCAATGGCCCTCTTTAGCCAGACTGCTGGGGGCCCAAGACACACTGCTCCCAAAGAATATGCTCAGGCTTTTTCCAAATGGAAACTCAAAGAGCACCAAAATGCTTCCAAAGGCACAACACAACCACAGCTTACTTCCGCACTTGGCAAAGTAAACCAAAAAACGATTACTCATTCCACATTTTGTAGATCCTCGTCTAGGTCAGTGATGCAAACGCTTTAGGGACGTGAGCACGAAATGCAACCCGAAACCCGCTTATTTATCAGACTGCCAACACAGCAATTAAACCTGAATACGGAAGTTTTAGTTTAGAAAAAAACTCATACATTAGCATCTTTTCTCTTAAAAGAAAAACAAGTAACATGTGTCCCACCACTGGTCTAGGTAAAAAATACATTTTCAACTATATTTTACAAAGAACTCAACACATACACACCTTGGGGGGTAGGCACCTCCTCTCATGTTGTAGTTATAGGTGGATTGCATCCGGGAGTAAGGATCAACAGGCTTATACATTGGTTTTTTTCCAAGTTTCATGCACAGTGCATTTAGATCAACAGTAGGAGTTATGCTTTCTGTAAAATAGAAGCAAAACAAGGAACTTTTTTTTTCTGACATGGGGATGATCACGAAAATTTTTTTTAAAACAGTATGCTTTCTACTAATTCACAATGTGTTACATAAAGGCACCTGAATACGTCATTGCTAAGCTTTAGGTCAGGAAATACAAGAATCTAATATGATTCCTTGATATTGTAAGGGATACCAAAAAGAGCAACAATATAGCCCAAGATGTTAACCCAAGTGAAATATATACAGTACAGTTGTCAGAAATAAATTGCAATACACATCAACTTTCTAGCTGAAAAATTCCATGTGACCATTCAATTATTTTGAGAATGCTTAACTACTATCACAATGGTTGTCCTGAAGAGTGTTTGTACACACTATTTATGTGAATGAAGCACTTATTAAGAATCAACTGGATGCAAAGTACTGTACTGCGCTAATCTTTTTTTTTTTTTTTTTTTTTTTTTTTTTTTTTTGGTACCGGGAACTGAACTCAGGTCCTTGTGCTTGCAAGGCAGGCCACTGAACCACTGAGCTAAATCCCCAGCCCTGTACAGTGCAAATCTTGAGGAACACAACTCCTGATCTGAAGGAGTTCACAGAACATAAAGCACAAAAAACTACAGTACGGTGGGATATGTGTCATGGGAAAGGGGTAAAATGAGAAGGAGACAAGTAAATCCTGTTTAGAAAAGATGAGGTCCAGAAAGTATTCAACATCTCCATCTTGGCATAACAAGCTTTGTCTGCGGTCATATTTGCTAGGAAAAGTAGTTCCATTTTTTGTAAACAGGAGCAAGTCATTACCTCAGAATTATCAACTTCAGGAAATACACGGTATTCCTTTTCAAATTTGTTCTTTCAGTTCATCCAATTAAAAAATCTTTACAAATCATTTTTTAAAATCAGCCTTGAAAGACTAGTGTCAATGCATAATCACACTTAATAATAACATTTTCATATCAAATACAGAATAGCAATGGCAAAATTTAATTTAAATGTATACAGAAAGCGCAAAGACCTGAGTTCAATCCCTGGTACCAAAAAATAAAAAATAATTGTACAGACAAATCCATTTTAAAATGCCTTCCAAGAATGTATGCAGAGGGCTGGGGATATAGCTCAGTGGCACAGGGCCTGCCTGGCAAACATGAGGTCCTGAGATCAATTCCCAGCACCAAAAAAAAAAAAA